GAATTAATGTATTAGTAACCCCATCCAACTGCGGCATTATTGACAAAGCAAAACATGCAATACGTGAACAATCACTTTTGCACTTTTGGTTCCACATCAGAACTCCCTCATGAAGGCTTTTGATTGGGTTTTATATTTTTCTCCTTTCTACTATAGAGATTTCAGGATGGAAATGTGCTGATTTAGATAAAGAAATCAAATTCTTTTTTGAATGGTAGCTTTCAATGATATCATCATAATTACATTATGCTTCATCTCCCTATGACCTCATTGTTTATATTTCCTGTTCTGGATAATCATTCATTTGATGAAGGGGATACTGTCCAGGTCAGCATAATGTAATAAATCCTTAAAATGCCACAGGAAGTCATAATTCATTTATGCAATTGTTTTGCCTCTGCAGGTTCCATTGCAAACTTGTTTCACTGACTGATATTGGTTATTTTGAAAGAGAAAAAAAACATACATTAACTTATCTTGATGTCTGCTTAAAAATAGACATTTAATAAATAAATAAATACTATTTCTGCCTCCACCTCAATCTTCAGACTTTCAGAGTTTCCAAATACCTTTTGCTGTTGTTAGTCGCAAAGTCATGTCCGATTCATTGCGACCCCATGGACAATGTTCCTCCAGGCCTTCCTGTCCTCTACCATCCCCTGGAGTCCATTTAACCTCATGCCCACTGCTCCAGTGACTCCATCTAGCCACCTCATTCTCTGTCGTCCCAATCTTTTTTTGCCCTCAATCATTCCCAGCATTAGGCTCTTGTCCAGTGAGTCCTTCCTTCTCATTAAGTGGCCAAAGTATTTGAGTTTCATCTTCAGGATCTGGTCTTCTAAAGAGCAGTCAGGGTTGATCTCCTCTAGGACTGACCAGTTTGATCACCTTGCAGTCCAAGGGACTCGTAGGAGTCTTCTTCAGCAAATACCTTAGTCATTCCTTATTGGCCCTGCTTCCTCGAATGACTACAGTCAGGGGTGGAATTCTACAGGTTCATACCTATTTGCTAGAACCGGTTGTTAACATTCTAAGTAGTTTGGAGAACTGGTTGTTAGAAGAAATTACTGGCCTAATCCTGTAAGGAAGGCAGGAAGGAAACATTCTGGTGTTGCTTACAGAAACTGCCTCTCCGTTAACCCTTATTACATTCTTGGCAGGACTAGACTTCCTGTCTCTGGAACTTCTGTGGAGTTTCCCCCCCCCCTCCTTTGCTGGTACTTTGCTTGTGTGGAATGACCATTCAAAGTTACAATGGCACTGAAAAAAGTGACTTATGACCATTTTTAACACTTACGACTGTTGCAGCATCCCCACAGTCACAAGAGGCCAGGCAAGGAGAAGCGTGCCTCGATGTGAGTGATGTTGAGTTGGCCACATCCAGCCAGTCACATGACCACCAAGCCACACCCACCAACTAAGCCACGCCCACAGAACCGGTTGTTAAAAAAAATTGAATCCCACCCCTGACTACAGTTATGTTTATTAACACACACCTCCACAAGTAAAACTACACACAGAGATACTTCTTTTGAACTCTGAATCTTCTAGACTTGCAATAATGATGCTTGATTTACTCTCTATACTATCATACAAAGTAGCAGAACCTGCAAGCTGTGAGCAGGCATTTTGGAACTTAAATTCTTCCATCTCTGCTTTAAAAAAAAAAAAAACTCTTATTCTACCTGGAAAAGTTAGGACTATTGATCTGTCTCTCCAGAACAGTCAAAATGAATTTCTCTCAAAGTTTTGGATGAACAGGTGCATCTGTCATTTGGGAAGAAAAATAGGGGCATGTATTTGGTGCTATCCATATTGTGTACTGTATTGGGTACTGAAAATCGATTTTATTTATTGCATGTTTGTATTTCCCCAAAGTTAAAGACATTGGGAAAGCTTAAAATCATAATAGTGTTTTATTATGTTTTCATTATGCAATATACTGAAAACTGTAGAACACATGAAAACTGAAGTGTTTGTTTCCTTCCTGTTGACCAGAGAATCCTATCACTTAATATTTAACGTGCAGTGCAAATATAGAAAATCAAAGTTGTAATTTCCTTCTTGTTGTTTTGACTATAATTTCCTTTGCAAATCTCATATTTCCATCAGAACATCTCATGGTGGACAAATCTGTCTGCTGTGAAATATAAATAAAACCTGCCAGGACAATATATTAGAGAAGGGCAATTATAAGTTGAACATAGCATTGTTTACCCCAAAAGAGCCAAGAAAAATATGAATGGCAGATATGCTGAACCAAGAAAGATCTTTAATTCTGATTTGAACAGACAAAGCATGAAACAGCTTCCTTCTTTTGTGGTTGTTTTCTGAAATGTTTTAAAGTGTCCTTGTTTAGCAAAAGCAAAATGTATCTGTTTGGGCATTCATTTCTCTCCTTACCTCTTTCCCCAGTAACAACATTTTGGTTTTCTTAGCAATCAAAGTACTGTATATTGCTGCTTATTGAAATTTAAATTCAGGCACCCTGAAATTTGTGAGAATCATGTGTGCTAATTTTAATTCATTATATTTCTACTGTATATTTATGTCCTCAAAAGATAGACACTGTGTGGTATACAGAAACAAAATCATGAAAACAGGCCCTGTAATAAAACACTGGAACTCCCACACTAAGGTAAAATGACATCTCTTACTTCCAGATGTATCAAAGAAGAAATAGTGACTGACCACTCATCATGAAGCTTTGAAGGCTGGTTTTCACAGCTTTGTGTATTGTAATGACGGAACTTACCTATAGGAAGAAGATGCTCCAAAGAATCAGAGTTATGCAGAAAGGATCTGTCTTTTGATCTACAACTTCCTCACATCCAGCGGGATGGGAACTTAAAAGGTTATCTCGAGATACGTTGACAGGTGGTCAGAATCATTTTGAAGTGGTCATTAATATAACCAGCTGTCCAGCTGTCCCTTAACCTCAAACAAGTGCAAAATCTAAGTGTAAATGGTATAAAGTTATGTGGTAACTACATGGGACCTCTACCAATGAAGAAATTGTAGGTATGGTGCTATGCCCAAGAATTGGAGGACAATATTATAACCTACCCAGCAAAGTGTTTATTAATAACCGCTAGTTATTTATTTTCATTACATAGAAACTGCATCACTGCAGATACTTCTATACAACAGAAATTGTTTTTAACAGAAACAGGAAGGATGGCATTTGCAAAACCTGCCATCTACTCCCAATTCCTTTACCACTGACTTTTAAATGGCTTGATGGAGATTGTATACTTCCTCTTAAGTCAGAGATCTTTCCAAGTGCCATTGGATTATTTGATGTATAGATATAATGCATCCTGCTGTGAAACTATATATACTCCATTTTTTTTCAACAGCAATCATTCAACAGCAGCAACAAAAGTGATCAGTATTTTAAAATAGAGTTGTAACCTAGTGAGAGCTTAAGTATCTACGTGGGATCTTCTCATTTATAGCGCATGCATGAGGCAACCCAAGGGAGCCATCTGTGTCCAGTAGTATCAGATGTGTCAAACGGTACTTCCTTCTCCTTTCGCACAGAGGGGACTTTTCTTCTTTCTGTTTTCAGTCCTACCCAAAACAGCACATTCCCATTCTATATCTGCAGTATAGCTCTGTGACTCTGCTAGGATGTTTAGTGATGATATTTTGTTTTAATTTTTGTTTCGTGTGCAATTATGAAAAATTAGTCACGGTAATCATTGGCATGGATTAATATTATTCTGCAGTATTCATACATATATGCAGTAAAGAAGACAATATATCTTAAGGTTCTCTCCATTAAAAAATGGAGAAGGTGGGTTTACCAGGGAAAGCAAGCAAGTCAGGGGATTGCACCAAGCTCAATCATTACCTCACATTTTAAATGTAGTTCGTGGCTTGGAGGACACATAGATCATCCAACAAAGGAAATGCAAGAAAGGCAGAAAAGCATGGAACCATCTTCCTCAATATTATCTATACTTTTTGAGTCTCAGAGGTTTCAGACAAGCTTTATTTGAAATAATTGGGCCTAGAGAGGAGATCTTTTATTGGGAAAAATGCTCTTTCATTAGAATTGAGACTAACTCTTCAGTGCCTCACAATCTACTGACCTCAAGGGGAAGTAGGATGTATATAGAAAGCAAAATATTAGTCCCTCTGCCTGCCTCTGAGTTTACTAATCTTAGACTGCCTCCTTTCTCTGCGTGGTATAGCAAACTAAGTATTAGGCTTTGCTATCCCTATCAAGCATTCCCTAAAATAAATCTCTTTTTCTAGTAAAGCTATACACCCACTTACTTACTCATCCTTGCTCAGGTTAGATCTTCCCTCTGTCAAGAATACTAAGTACAGAGATTACAGTATTCTACCGCAAATATTTTTCCCAAGTAAAAGGAAAGAAAGGAAGACAATAAGCAAGTCAAAGAAAGGAAAATGAAATTAGAAAAGAGAATTGGTCCAGTTAAAGTAGTTTGGGAAGAGCAGAGAAGTTTTGATGAAGATGAGAAGAAAATCCTGTACACAAAAGAAAACAGAAAAAATGAAGGGTGCTATAAAATCAAGCATCCGATATTTTACATTTGAATAAAAGTGCAGGTACTCTTTTTTCCCCCTTCTAGACTCCTAGAATTGAAAAACAATGATGCTTCTTGTTTCTTTCCCACTCTTCATTTTTCTCTGAAGATACCCTCATTTTTTTTTTTAGCAGTAAATGGTGTCTTACCTCCTGATATGAAGAAATCCAAAGTGCTGCACTGAAAAGACAACTTTTTTCTGTATGAAGTAAGTAACCTTTTCTTTAACTCAACAGTTCTCTTAGGTCTCAGATAGGGCTGAGACAACTTCCTACAAAAATAACAAATTGTAAACTACCCCATAAACTTCAGGGAGAGGGATAGGGGGCAGGGGGGAAAGAGAAGGAGGAGGAGGAGGAGGGGGAGGACGGCGGAGGAGAAGTAGTAGTAGTAGTAGTAGTTGTTGTTGTTAGGTTGGTGTAGAGGGCATTCTGTTCTTTCTTTTTTTTAACTTTTTTGACTGGTCATGAGCTTGTAAATGACCTGAGAGCCATCATCCCAGGCAAAGAGTTGTTTGTCTCTGTGGTTATAATGAACCATAGCATGATTTGACTGACGTTTGGGGAAACGAAGTACTGTGTTTTCATATGGACTGATGACATCTAAGGTATCATAAATACATTCTATTTGAGAGACACCACGCCCTGGGGAGTTGTATACAACATAAAGAGCACCACACATCATGAAAGCAGCTTCTGCATTCTGGCTTCTGCAGGATGTATCCCATGTATATTCCACAGTCATGGTTTCATGGTTGATTTTAGTAATCACGAGCTTTCCAGCAGTATCTGGTTCTGCATGGATTGCCCATAATCCTAGTTCATCCACAGCTAAGTCTATTTTAGTAGAAGGGTGAAGTTCATAGGCAGGTATCTCTCCAGCACCCGACAGCAGCATCTGATCAGTTGCATTTCTGTTCTGAATATCAAACTTAATTATCTCATTTAAGGAGCCATATTTATGATAAAACAGAAATCCATTGTATATAGCATGGCCTGTTCCTTGCCAGGGAAATGGTAGTGCAATTCGACGGGTCGGCTGTTTCTCACCACTTTCGGCAAAAGATCGAATGTTTGCAAACTCCATAACAATTTTATTCTTTGTTCCAGTGAAGAAGTAAATCTTTTGGTAATTTTTGCCAGGGTCTTTCAACCATGAGCCAATTGCATCTCCAGACTTTTTGACTATCTTTAGTGATTTGAAGCCTGTGATCATGTAGTTGCAGCCTTAAAAAAAAAAAAGATAAACAATAGGCCATCAACAAAACATAAATGTTTTAAAAGTTTTAATTGCTTTTCTATTTATTGTTTTATGTCTTGTAAACTGCCCAGAGTCACCTGTCTGGAGATGGGCTGCACATAAATTAAACAAACAAACAAACAAACAAACAACACAGTGGTGGGATTCAAATTTTTTTACTACCAGTTCTGTGGGTGTGGCTTGGTGGGCGTGGCAGGGCAAGGATACTGTAAACTCTCCAGTCAGAGGTGGTATTTGACAGTTCTCCAAACTACTCAAAATTTCTGCTACCGGTTCTCCCGAACTGGTCAGAACCTGCTGAATATCACCTCTGAAACAACAGTATTCTGATGTAGTATCTCAACTTACGTGAACAAACATAAATGAAGGGAGCATACACTGCTCACAACTTTAGCTGTTTAGTTGCCATCATTTACTGTGCCATGGTAGCGCAGTGGTTAGAATGCAATATTGCAGGCTAATTCTGCCGACTGCCGATTGCCGACTGTAAACTGCTTAGAGAGGGCTGGAAAGCACTGTGAAGCGGTATACAAGTCTGAGTGCTATTGCTATCTTTTTTCATTTTTGCACATTAAAATAGCTAACATGTTATTTTACAGGGTCTCTCTTCTGTTGCTGTTCCTAGATGGGCTACAATCCCTTCCCTCTGGGATTAAATAACATGAACAAAGAATAACTCTTGAGGTTGCAAAGTTGCACGCTTCCCTTATTAAATTTACACATTTCATAAGAAGCCATCAAATATTCACATCTGGGGAGCCCAAATATCTATTTTACTTTCCTTTTGAACTGAGTCTTTTTAAGGTAGCCTAAGAATAGAAACTTTCTTCCTTTTATTTATTTAGTAAGTTACTCAGGGAGCCATTTAAGGCTGAAAGTATGGTATAAATGCTTTAAACATCATTTCATTAAATAAATATATTTAGTCTCTGTTTCTCCACAACATGGCTCATTTAGTACAATAATCCTGCTATATTTTTGTTGAAAAGTCATGAGTCAGAAAATTCTTCATGTTATGTTAGCATTCATATTGTCAAAAAAAGACACATACGCAGTAATATATTCTCTCTCTTAATATCTCTTAATATCACACACACACACACACACACACACACAGAGAGAGAGAGAGAGAGAGAGAGAGAGAGGCTATATAGATTCTCAAACTTGCGCTTATAAAATGGATCTTTCTGATTTTTTTTAAAATATGAGGTATGAGTAGCTGAATTTGAAACCTAATGTATTCAAATGTATATACTTTTATCCAGTTAGTTACAAATTCGGCTATATATACTGTGTATATATACTGTAAATAAAGGCACTCACACTCACAGAGAGAGAGAGAGAGACAGACAGACAGACACACTGTTTGAGGCAGAAGTGGGATTCAACCGATGTAACAACTGGTTCAGTGAGCGCACACTTCAGTTGGAGCTTCAGTTTTTGGTTGCGTTGGTGTTTAGAGAAGGATGGGGATTCAGTATTATATTATTTCAAAAATAAAATTAGGGTTTATTTTAAGAAAGAAACTATATACGGTAATTTTTGTTACATCATTGGGAGCATCACGGTGGACTTAATTTATTATAAATATTAATAGTGGGCAGATAATTTAATATAGACATTTCTTGTCAGATTACATTAGTGATAGGGCTCTATCAGATGTCTGTCAATTCAGCTCAATATACTTAAGATATTTTCAGGAAGGAAAATTTCCTAATGTATGTTTACTTTTATTGTTTCCATTACATTTCCCCCCTGCTTATTGTTGCCAAATGTTTAGCAATAGTTTTTTCTTCTTCTTTGTGACTTATTTTATTTGGTTTAATGTTCTAAATTTAACTTAGCCATCAAGAAATGTTAGAATGAATATATTAGCAAATTCAGTCTTGAATACTCAGGAATGATGGCATACAATAATGCATTAAAATAATGTTCATCTCCTCAGATAATTTTATGTGCCAGTTTGTGGACAGTAGAGTATCATAGTAAGAGTAGCAAGAGCTTTTAAAACACTGTGTGAGACTGCTGCCATTATTTTTCATGAAATTGATTTTAGGCATGCACTAAGTGTCATTCTTGCAAAATAGGAAGTCCTTGACTTACAACCTTCATTTAATGATCATTGGAAGTTACAACAGCACTAAAAAAAAGTGATTTATAGCTAATCCTTGCACTTATGACCATTGCAACATCTCTATTGTTAGCCCGACGTCATTCATGGGCTGCCATTCGGGGGCCAGGCCGGCCGTGGACATTGCTTTGAAGCCCTGTGACTACTGATCATTTAGCTGCCGCGAGCCTGCAGGCGTAACTCAAGCGATAGCAGAAGACCTGAGAGGGAAATCACATAGGAATGACAGCGGGGGACGAGCTCCTCTCAGGAAGACTAACTGAGCATGTGCCTGCCTATGGGGGTGTGCCGGGATAATTGGTTAGGCCATGCCGGGATAATTGGGGCAGGGCAAATTGGGTGTATAAAGGTGGTGGAGTGGTCTAAATGATTAACCCTGACTTTAATCTCTGTTAGCTTGCATTGTCTAGCAGTTGATCAGTTAAATGCTGGCATGCTCCGGAGGAAGATAAACAGCTTACATTAGATCCTGTTGTGGCTGTTTTGCTTTTCTTTCGGTCGTGTGATGGAACCTGACATCTATGATCACCTGATCAAAATTCAGACACTTAGCAACTGACATGTATTTACAAAGGTTGCAGCATCCTGGGGTCGTGTGATACCATCTGAAACCTTCCCAGCTGGCTTCCGACAAGCAGTCAATGGGAGAAGCTCAATTTGCTTAACAACTGCATGATTTACTTAATGACTGCTTTGATCCACTGAACAACTGTGCAAAAAATTGTAAAGTTGTAAAATTGGGCACAACTTACTTAAAACAATTGTCTTGCTTAAGTAATGGAAATTCTGGTCCAGCTATGGTTGTAAGTTAAGGAGTATGCGTACACCGCATGCACGAGTCCAACTATGAAACCATAGGTATACATTTTCAATATTAAGAGTAGACTGCCCTTACTTGCATTCAGCATGAGCTTGATCTTTGTCTTGGACTCTTGTTCTTCTGTTAACTGCTGCTCCAAAAGCTCTTCATCAATGTCCACACACGGGCTGGGATATTCCTTTGCAGATTCAAAGTAGTCAATATCTCTCTGAGCTCTTTCCACTCTGGTTAGCAAATGGTCTACATCATTCTTCAGCTCAGTCTTTAGAATGTTGAGGCCTTCTAGATGTGACATCAGCTTCTTTGAAAACTGCCGGAATTCCTCTACATAATCAGTTATATCTTGATTGCATTTGTTCAGTCGGTTCTTTAGGGAGAACACAGAAATGATCAGTTTAAGTGTTGGCTCCGAACTAAATGCTTACTAGAGCTGTGGCTGGTTCAACCAATATTTCAAATAAGTGCTTAATACTTGCATGACTGTAGCGTCTCTCTCCTGTTTGTTAAAGAAGGCATATCTTTGTTCAAGCATCAGCATGAACTTATAAAATGATGCAGCGGCTTTGAAGCATCAACATTTTGTGTCTTTTAGTAATCTGAAGCCTGAAAAAAGGTATGTCTGCAATGAGTAATTCAGAGCTGTCCTTGTTCACACAAGTCTGAAACAATTCGGAATGATTTTTTATAATGTACACACCCCTAAAGTTATGCAAAATATTTATTTTTATTTTATTAAGGAAATTTACATGGCCACCCAATTCACTTGTAGTTTATTCCATGTGGCTTACAAGAATATAATTATCCTCTTCCATTTCAATTGGATTCATGTAATACTCTTCCATCTCCAATAACTAATTTCTGCTTAGTTTATGACTCTCATTACTTCCACATCAACATGAAAGGAACAAACTCTAAAGTGCAAAGGAACATAGGACAGGGATGCAGAAAATTCCATTGAGAAACTACAAGGAAACCATAGGAGGTTTGAAAACACTCCAGGAATTGCCTGACCTTCAGCTGAGATTTCCTCAGATTATATTCACATAATTTGAAGAAATACTTCTCCCTTCGTTGGAGTCATTCATTTTGTCATCTGATCTCTGAGTCCAAGTATTTCATTCAAAACAAACTGACAATACAATAAACCCAGGGAAGTGAATAAATGTCTTAGACAGGGAGTTCAATACAGTTTTGGCTCAAACCTGAGCGTTCCTGAATTTGCAAAAAATGGATTTCTCATATTTATATAAAACAGATACTTAAGTACAATACTTGATTTTGAAGTGGGCATTTAAGTATATAATTAAAACAAGTCCTCCTTTTATGCTTTCTAAAAAAAGGTCACTTTCCCATTTTCGGGCTTAAAGGATGTTGGGCAATAGCTTTCAGTAGAATTTCAGCAACAGCATAATCTTTTCTTTTAGGAGGTTGTAAAAATAGGAGTTGTGCTGGCAAGGCATAGCAGTGAGGCCCCTGCTGATCCAGATGCTGCAGCTGGAAAAGGGAAGGAGCAAAACAAAAGGGGCATCTGAGAATCTTTCTTGGGAATGATGAGTTTGCAACTCTTCTGTAGACAATTTGAGGCGGGGGGGGGGGGAACCATTTCTGTATTGAAAATGGGAGTACAGAGAATGAATCTATGTGAGCATTTATTTCTGAGTGAAAATATATATCACCTGCAAGTATTTGGATGGTTGTAAATTCATGGAAGAAGGGATTATAAGAAACATTTTTTTCACTCGACCTGTAATTTAATGCTTCACAGGCTAATATAATCCCATATGTTAGGATTACACATTCTGTCACTCCTCCAAAACATGGCAAAAAGGAAGGCTGGTCTACAAAAGAATAATTTTGCACATTTGATTTCAGCAACAAATACCTAGTCAAGGGTTCCCTCCTTCAGCAGTGCTATGGATTGGCTCAAATGAAACCAGGAAGTTAAGTAATTAATCAAGATGCATTGGCTCCCAGAGACTTTAGCCCAAATTCCTTTAAATCTTTTATACCTTATCATCCACAGGGATAGTTCATTTACCACTTTCTCACTCCTTTTTCAACAAACTTCCCCAGAAAGGTAAGATTTGAGATAAGTTGATAGTTGTTCAGGTTGACTGAGCCAAAGGATAGCCTCCTGAGGCATGAACTTTTTTTCCTGGCATGAAAATAACACTAGATGACAGGCAGCTGTGAATCTTTTAGACACAGTACCAGGAAAAAAAAAAAAGCTGGATTACCCACCTCTTCTATTCAACACACAACCACCTACTCTAGATGATTTTGCTTTATGAAGTGACCACATAGTCACAGTTCATAAACTATTCATAGAACACTAGCTTCTCAAAAGCTGGGGGGGGGGAATAAAGACAGCTGTCTCAGCAGTAGTTACACTGCAGCCCCTTTGACTTTCTGTTTGGATTCTGCTGAGTTGAATGAAGTTTACTGTAGAGGAGACATAAGTTTACCTGCGATAAGAGGCAAACCTAAGATAAGAGCTGTTGAATACAAGGGCACATAGTTTAAATGCACACATAATTTAAACACATATGACATAACAAACATTTGCAAATCCAGATACTCTGGATGCTGCTTATTCACAGTCTCCCCCATTTAAGTGTCTAATAGTGAGGAACTGTGTGGTCCAGGAAATTCCTGAGAGTTCACATTTCCCTCCTTGACATTACAAAATATTCATAAAATTGTTATTCTAATAATAAAAAACACCAGTTTTAATGAAAGTGTTGTTTTGTGTTCAGTAATTTGGCAGATTCATAGAATTATTTTAAGAAATATGTGATATTTATATTCTAGAAATAAATGTAGACTTTTGAATATTATTTACTTACACTGAATCTCTGGATGACTAAAAGTAGAGTTTTTAAATTCCTGTTGAAGGAGCACCTGGCATACTTGTGGCATTTAATCTTATGTAAACAGCCACATGGATCTGCTCCTAAAGATTAAGAATATTTTAAGAATATATCTACTTCTATACTGTTCTTCCATATGGATCATCATTAGCAAGTATCCGAGACATCATCTAGCCAACTTTAGATCAAGCATGCACTCTCTCCCATCTTCTTCAAGTGAATTTAAAATTAGCTAGATTTTATCAGAATTTTACCCATTGCAGATGTGTGCACATTTTACAGGGTAATAAATTTATGAGGAGCAGCAGTAATCCCAACTTTCTTTCATAAACAACACTCTGCTTGGTGGTTTGTGAAACTTTGAATTCTGCATAAAAAGCAAGTTTATTTTAAATGAAAACACTTGATTTCCCCAAAACTAATGGAATATAAGTCCCGTACAAAGAAAACAATTCATAATATATTCAAACAGTATGAATGGCACCTACCTCCATTGAGATAATTCGGCGATCTATATAATGCACAAGTTCAGCATCTTGCATAATATATTGTGCTTCTATTCTGATGCATGTAAAAAATGGAACAAGTAAAAATCCAATCTGTATTGCTGCCATTCTTTCATTAAATCTCAGAAGTGATTGAAAGGCAACTCTCCAAAGCTAACAAATACGGTAAGGTTTATTTAGCACAATGATATATATGTGCATATATAAAGAGACAATCCTCATGCAAAGTCTGAATGATTTAAAATGGCTGTTCAGGTTCCTACAGTTTCTCCTTAACACAAGTTGTGTAAACTTCTCAGCAAGAGATTTATTTCTGGAAGCCAATGGAGTGCTTTCCAGGATATGATCTTTTGATTGGATCCAGATGTTTAGAACTGAACTGTACAACTCACTTAGATTAATGACGTCCAATGAAAGCAGTGAGCCTCCCTTCTTTCCTTTTAGCAATCGTCATCAGTATGTAACACTGATAAGGTTTCATGTTATAGAATCTGCAACAGAGGTAGCAGTCTTGCAAAATAGTCCACTTTTTAAGTCTTTTTATATGCTGTGTTTGCAAAACATTGCTTAGTGGTGCAATAAGGGCTGTGCAGGACAGAGACCCATTTCCCCCTATCTAGTATTGATATCATCTTTTTTCATCATGACTAAAAAATGTTTTAGTGATGGATATGTTTCAGAGAGACTTTTTCTAACGGTACTGCCTTAATTGCACTATTTCCAGCAGTTTCGATCTGTGCATAATCTCTATTCATAAGATTATGCAAGAGCTGTATATTCACATGTCTTAGACTTGAGGGTGTTTTTGCTTTTCTATTTACTGAGTGGGCAACCCTTTCTTCCTAGGGATTATATTTGCTTTTAAAAAAATGTTTTTACAGAATGTCTGCCAGAAGGATCATGTTTCCTCTTGCATGTTAAAGGGGAAAAAAATCAAGAAAATTGAGACAGGGTTAGAAAGGGAAGGCAGGGGGATATTTTTTACTGTTTTTCTAAGCCTTATTTTTCCCCCCACAATTGGAAAAACAAAAGGCATGAATATAATGCAGGGGTCCATGGACCAGCACTGGACTGTGCTATGCCAGGAACCAAGCCACACAAAGAAACGAAGTCCCATCTGCGGGATGTAGACAGCACATGGAACCAAGCCCCCTCCGGTGGGAAAACCTCTTCCATGGAACTGCTCCCTGATGCCCAAAAGGTTGGGGGTGGGGGGGGTGTCACTGGTCTAATGTTAGTTTTAAATTTTAAGCTATTGCTATTTAGCTTTTACTTCCTGAAATGATTTCTTTAAAACTATGCAATGAATATGAACTAAAATTGTACAGTGCTATTCACAGTATCAAACTATATTCTCAAATACCAGAGTCAGTCATTGAATGTAATGGTTGAAGGAGGCTTTGAAAATCAACTAATATCCTCAATCTTGCCAACTGTAAGAGGCATGGACTTAACTCCCAGAATTCCCCTGGCAGCACACATCTTAAAATTGCCAAGTTTGAAAAACACTGATCTAATCTGACTAGGCTGAACTGCTCAACTAGGTCATGCCAAAATTATGCACAAGTGCAAGTCTACGGTTACAAGCATAAGTGATCAACAGGGAAAACATCTCACCTTCCGATGGGAAGGCAAATCCTTTAATCTGAAAGACCTCTCCATTTGTCTTTTGTAATTGATGAACTCATTTCCTCTTTTTTTCTTTTTCAATTTAAAATATTGGTCGGTATTTTTATTTGTCCTTTAAGTAAACTTCAAAGCACAGGGGGTGGAGTAGACCACCAGCATCATCAACTAATGTAAATCTACAAGTAACTATCACATGAGTAAATGGCCAACTCTATCTATTTCTCTGTATATGTTCATATTATTGAATTATTCTTCTCCTTTATGATGCAAAAAAGCTTTGGATGGATAGCAGTAATGACTAAAATGTACACTGAATTAAATATACCAGGAGCCGTAGTGGTGAAGTGGTTAGAATGCCGTATTGCAGGCTAATTCTGCTGACTGCCAGCCGTTCGATCCTCACCGGCTCAAAGTTGACTCAGCCTTCCATCCTTCCGAGGTTGGTAAAATGAGGACCTAGATTGCTGGGGGCAATATGCTGATGCTGTAAATTGCTTAGAGAGTGCTTTAAAGCACTGTGAAGTGGTATATAAGTCTAAGTGCTATTGCTATACAGTCTTAGACATCATGGTAGTATAGTGGTGACAATGTTAATCTAAGATTAAGAATACACAGATTTAAATCTAACTCAGCCACAGGAACTCATTAGATATTTAGTTCAATGACTTGCTGCCAGACCAAATATATCGCAGGGTGGTTGTTGTAGGGGAAATACGACTGCATGTTGCCACATTATCCTAATGAAATGCAAAATATACACCAAAAAGCAAACAAATGAACTTAATATAAAATCTATGTCTAAACTATCAACTTGCATGTTAAAGGCCCACCTAATAAAAGATGCTTCCAGTTCAAAAAATGAAACTGTTGTGTATATATGTCACTATGACGGGTGCTTTATTCTTTGCTGCTATGTGTTTAAAATGTTTGAATTATTCTAATTGTTTTTATTTTTTAAATTTTGTTTGCCACCCAATGGCACTTGGGGGGGCATATTAAATAAATAAATACAGACCAGTTATTCTTGTAGAATAATGTCTGGGGTAGTCTTTCTGAATTATAGCCTACTTTTGCTTCTCCTAAGAAGAGCTTCCTCCCTCCCTCCTTGTTTTATATATTTCCCTATCTTTTTTCCTATTCAGATTTTGTGAGCTCTTTTCTTCACAAAAGGAAAAAGATTCTGTCTATCAGATACATTATCTGCCCAATAATTGTCTGACTAAGCTCTGAATATGTCTGGCTCTCTGTCTGGCTCCCTCTTCAGCATACTCACAATCTGTCTGTCTGTCTCCTCTCCCAGCTATAGCTTTATCCACAACATTTGACATGCTGTTTCCTTGTTCTACCTTGTTACTTTGCAGAAGCAATGACATCATTCTACTCCCTCCTGGTTAATTTGTCTGCTATGTAAAAAAGATTTATGTTCAGTATTTAAACATTGCATTCATTTCTTCCCCCTCAGAATTCAAAGAGCAAAATACAGTGCAAGCAGTGGCATCGATAGGGACAGCAGGAAGAATTAATGGAGGACAAATCATGCTCCCCCTCCTACCATGTTTTGTCTCATGACAGTGGGAAGCCTTGAGGCTGGTTTTTGGAGAAGGGTTGCCATTAATCAATTACTTTTTGTTGTGAGGTTTATAATCGTATGTTAGAGTGTGAGTTTTTATGGTGCAGAGTGCAGAGAAGAGCAACCAGGATGATGAGGGGGCTGGAGGCTAAGACATATGAAGAACGGTTGCAGGAACTGGGCCTGGCTAGTCTAGGGAAGAGAAGGACCACAGGAGACAGGAGAGCAGTCTTCCAATATCTGATGGGCTGTCACAGAGAGGAGGAGGGGGTTAAGCTATTTTCCAAGGCACCCAAAGGCCAGACAAGGAACAATGGATGGAAACTGAACAAGGAGAGATTTAACCTGGAAATAAGGAGAAACTTTCTGACAGTGAGAACAATCAACCGATGGAACAGAAGTTGCCTTCAGAAGTTGAGACTTTCAAGAAAAGATTGGACTGCCCTCTGTCAGAAATGGTGTTGGGCAGGGGGTTGGACTAGATGCCCTATAAGGTCCCTTCCGACTCTGATTATCTGTTAACAGAAGCTTCTTCAGCTCTGACTGGATGGTGGAGAATGGAAGGATTTAGATTTTCCTGTTCCTAAAAAGCCTAGAAATAGATAATCAGACAGCTATTGGGCCATTTTATGGCAAATGAGCAAACAGGGCAATCTGGATTGTAACATTGCCACCATTTAAAACAACAGTGAAGTATTTTTCATGTGTTCACTTACAAAAGAAACAGGCAAAATTCCATGCCACCTGCTTTTAAATAAAGGAAACTTTCCCCAGGTAGAATTAAATTATTTCTACCAACTGCCCGATTAAAATCATTGTTACTCATCCCACCCCCTGACACTGACAAAAATCACTCAGCTTAGTTATAATAAAAACAACATATCCAGCTAAAGTCAGAGACTTCAAATGGAAGTATAAAACCCGAAGAAATCATTAATAGACTTTTGCCAGTGGAATGACAGTCAAACTCTCCATAATTGAGGTCATCATGAGAAATTAATAATCATTCACTCAAATTGATTGTAGTCTTCCAGAGAGCAACACTATTTTTTCTGAATCCACATACCTGAAAAAACAGCCAGGTTTTCAATACCTGTCTAAAGGTTTGCAGAGCTGGGTCCTTCTGTAAGTCAGGCTGGGAGGGGAGATCATTCCAGGGGGGAAGATTCACCACAGAAAAAAACCCCACACCTCCTAAATCCCATAAAATGACATTGTCTCAACGAGGGGACCATGAGCATGCTCAACCGATTGACAACCAAATGCTTGTCTGAAAAATCAGATGATACCAAACTTTCAACCACTTTTGCTAGGTTTAGTGTACAAATTTACATGCCAAAAGTCTTCTGGGTTGTTATTAATCTGCCCAAAGCCATTAAAAGGGACTTTTATCACTTTTTATCAATGTCAGGTGCCCATCAGATGTGTTGGACTATAGCAGTGGTGGCTAATCTTTTTGGGCTCCTGTGCCAAAAATTGTGCGTGTGCTTGCACACTTGTGCTCACGTGCCAGCACCCAGAAGGCAATGCACGCCCCCCCCACATCTCCTATGCATGCATGCACAATCCCCCTACCCGCCCACCCCCCGCCACCCCCTGACCTGCACTGTGCCTCACAGCTGATTTTCAGCCAGTTTGAGCCTTTTTTTTGGCCTCCAAAAGGCTTGAGGAAGGCTTCTGCAGGCTTCTACAAGCTTTGTAGGCTGAAAACTGGCCCTGTTTCATCACTTCCTGTTTTTCCGAAAATACCGGAAGTGATGAAACGGGGCTAGATTTCAGCCTGCAAAGCTTCTAGAAGCCTGCAGAAGCCTTCCTCAAGCCTGTTGAGGCCGAAAAAGGCCTCAAACTGGCTGAAAATCAGCTGTGAGGCACACGCATGCGCAGTGAGGTAAGTTTGCCTGCAGCTCACGTGCTGGCACAAATGGCTCTGCATGCTACCTGTGGCACGCGTGCCATAGGTTCACCATCACGGGACTATAGTGTTGGACATGTTGAACTATAGTTCCTTTCATT